ATATATATCTTTTTATTACAAAATTTATCAATTAGTTTTACCAAAGATCTACTATGCCCTTGAGTATTTAGCCAATCCGTTGGTCAAATGCAATTTAATATATTATACAATTAGGCACACGTAACTATCTAACGCGAGATGGATAATTGCCCGTTCAGATTTCTATCGTATACATAATGTAACGAGTTTCGTCCGTACCCAAAATCCTTGTCATGAGCGATTAGAGCATTCTGGAAGGCATCCAATTGCTTTGTGCTCCAGGATTCACTTTCTTGATACTTATATGTGAGTAACGGATGAAATGCGGGCAATGCGAAACCTCTTCTGCAACGCAAAAACAGCTGAACTGCGGCGTCTAGGTCCCCATGACATAGACCTAATATATGGTAAGCTAACTCATGGTTTCGTCCACCGCCACCACACGGCACGAGACTGCTGCACGCCACAGAGATGTATTGATCAACTGTAAAATGGCACGCAAAAAGGCGTTTTAGGAAATCGTAAGCTATTTTATTAAAAGCTCATAGCTAACAAGTTAACTTGTTAGCTATGAGCTTGTTAAAAGTTAAATGAATATTTAAAGCAAGGCGTCGTATTTTCGCCCTTGTTGTTGGTGACAGCAACAGGTCGTATGTACTTGGTTTTATAATCACCTTGACTTTGTCCCTAAGAAGGTGTCAAGGTAGCTCTTGAAACTTGCGATCAAACATTCCAGTAGAGGAGGAAAAGGAAATTAGATATGAAATTTTTCTGCGTAAAAAGGGCTTAAGTCTATCACTTTTGATTTTTGGTGACGTACTTATGTTTTGGTATCTCAAAAGTGAGCCACGCAAAAGGTAAACACAGACGAGCTTAGGTAGCATGTTCTTGTTCAAGTGTTCGTTGCTAGAAGCTGCGAGAGAGATTTGCCAGAGTCAAGCTGACAGCGTAGTTTAGGTTAACTAATCATTTTGGTATAAAGAAAACGAATTCTTTCCATTACTGATAGAGTTGAGTTTTAGCCAAACTAGGTATTTTTGCACGGAGATTCTACATATACATGTCCTAGCTACGATCAGCAATCTTTCAAGCATACGCACGCTGAGCGTCGCTGATGTGCTGGGCAAATTCGGGCTTCCAAAGCAGGTCCGCACCATCAGCAGCGCTATCTTCGATCACTTGGCTGGACGTTGAAGCCTCACACTTTAGAACCTCGGATGCTGAAAGCCGTGGCGCCTCGGCGGTAGCTACAGGTGCTATTTGAGCGTTTCCGGATGATGGCAAGGAAGAATTCGGAATTGCTGCCTGATATTGTGGCCCGATATTGACGTGCGGTACGACATCCGATGCGATTGATTCGACGGGTGGTCCAAAAGACCAACCAGCTACAAATAAAGATTGTCAAGTTAGCAACGAAAATGTCAGAAAAAACGTCATTTTATAAAGCTAAAAAAACACTGCATATATACCGACGCGGTCGTTCGAAAACCCTAACCAGTTTCTGGCCCCTCCGACGACGCACACTAACACGGCCATAAATAATTTTCTGACTTGTGAATTTTTGTTTGTGAACTCTTTTTTTTTCTTTCTATATCATTACATTTCCATAAGTTTATTATTTATTTATTATTATTACATATTTACATAAGTGTATAAAAATGTACGGTGCTGCGTGCATATGGTAGTCCAATTGAAAGGCCAAGCCATTTTAAAGCTCACTTTTGTTGAGGTGGTCTATGCTCGAGAAGAGACCGGTCGCTTTTCGACACGGAGATAACATTGGTGGCGGCGTGTACGGCGGCGGGGAGTAAGGTGCCGTCGCCAGCAGTGGGGAACGCAATAATGACTGGTAAGGTGTTGGGCTATTCAGAGCAGCTGCCGTTCCACTCAGCTGTGTTTGTGTGATACAAAGCGGTGATGGCTTCGGTTTGAGCTTTTTGATGGGCGGCGGCTCCGATGCGCTTTCTTGTGGAGCTAAATCGCCTTCGTCGGGTTCGCCGGACGTCGTACCGTTAGCGTTGGGGGCCGCTCCGACCACCGCTGAATCAATAACCGCCAGTTTATTCTCTGATTCCAGATTGATCGGTTCACTCTTCATGTTCTGGACGAGGACTATACTGTTTGGCTTGACGACGAGATTATTGTCGTCGACGACAACAACGCTTTCGACGCTTTTTTGCACATCGCTGGCGACCACATCGAAGTCAATAGCTTTACAGAGAAGAAGATCTTCCGGAGCCGGCGGTTCGGGGCTGACGTCGTCAGAACGGTTGCTGGGTTCAGGGGGATCTGCTATTGACACAATTTGCGGCACAGATGTTACGGAGGGTTCGGCATGGGTTTTGGTGTCGTGAACGTCGCTAAATTGGGCTGCGGCATCGTCAACAGGATCAACACGAGGCGGACATTCGTCTTGATGAACCTTCGTATCAAAGACGAACGATGCACTATTGTTATGTTCATGCTCCTCAACCGAAGTGGATGGCACGTCTTCGAAGGGATCATCCCCAAAGTCGACAAAAAATTCGGGGTTCTCTTCAAGAAACGCGCCGAAATCCTCGTCTTCTTCTCGATGGGCCGATAACGTACCCAAATCCGCGAAAAGCGGCTCCAATGTATATCTGTCGAAAATCAAAGCGATACGACTTTAGAATTCGGTGTTTTCTCCGTAGGGAATCTTAAACATTAAGGACACTCTAAACGCTAGTAGGTTGTTATAATTACGGTATGTCAAGTTGTTGTAAACGTACACTGTATACAAAAAGAGATACTAAATCACAATACTTGCTGCTTAGGGTCCCGGCGGCAATACACAATGCTCCACTAATCATGTATATAAGCAAAGTTTGCAGATATACATAGCTGAATGTTCATAAGCCATCTCTTTAGGTTTGACCATCTGTATTACGTTATCGAAAAAGTATACCGTTTTTTGAGCTAAATGGCTTTTAGGTCACATATTCTAGGTAATATGTTGTGCCGTAAGTACTTTTTGGATAACCTACATTCAGAGCTAACACAAAAGAGTGTTTCGAAAACGAAAATCAAATTTGGGCGACAAAATCGCTATATTTATATAATTTTGTTATGATGACGGCGCGAATGTTATCTAAGCCCACAACGAAAGGCTCTGCTGCTTATGGTCAAGACGCGTTATTCAAAGAAATAAGGCTTAAAGACGATGAGAGAAATTTCGATGTGAAAGATGATCTTGCTAGTGTGATTGATCATTTTAGGAAAAAAGTTAATTTATTTTTGATACATTTTATTACAGAGAGAGAGAGAGAGAGAGAGAGAGAGAGAGACGTAGCCATGATATCCCCAAGAAACCAAACGTCCACCAGCAACCACAGTTTTAAACCATCTAAAAACTGGTTAGCTGGCTAGAAAAAAAGTTCCATGTTTAAGTGCTACACGAATTAAGGCAAAACCTTAATTTACTCTTATATATATATTATATATGAGATACATACATCTCCTCGTATTTGCATCTGTAAAACTTTGCAGATACAATATGAAATCAAGCCCTCTATCAAGTGATTCATCATAGATGGTGAAAAGTAAATTACATATGACAATTACATGCAGATATAAAAATTATAATGAATTCGCTCCGCAGTTCGTGACAGAGCTTTGACTGACTCTAAAAAACGTAATTTTACGCCCTTGATGGCGCTGTACATTAAGGAATCGTTTCACTGCATCATGGGAAAACAATCATCAAATCAGACCTCTACTGTCACCAACTAAGAAGATTACAGCAGTTTATTGGAAGAAAAAAAAAAGTACAGCGGGACTAGTGAACAGAAACGCGTTGTTTTCTACTATGGTATTGCCAGACCGCATACGTCTGTAAGTACCCGACAAAAATTCAGTGAACTTGATAGGAAATTTTAATGCCCGTATCTTGCACTATCGGATTATCACCGTATGTTTTTTGCCCCCTGCAGAATTCGTTAATTCAGTGTCAATGGAGAAATGCAAAGATCATTGTCACGATTCTTCGCCCAGAAACCATATAAGCTACCACAGAAGTATCAAACAGTCATCAATCAAAATACCGTATATTTAGCTCAGTGTTATCTAATTTTTTCATCTGGCCTTTAGCTGTCCTTAATGTGTTGATCCACCCTGTTGGACGGACATCGCCCTTCTCAAAATGAACGATTTTGGATCGTAATGCTCTGTCTTACTAGGTCCGTTCCATATAATTCAGACGATCTCGATTTTGCGTAAGCATGCCAATATGTCTTATAAAAAAGCTAGTATAACAAAGGAAATAACTAGTTGTTTTGTATCATTCTGTGAACTTATGTGATAGAATGATGTGAGTCCACATATTTACCCAGGATCAGATGCGAGGCGGCACTCGCGGCGACCCTTCACCGCCAGGAAGTCGCTGTCAGAGTGCCTCCGATGATTTTGTATGTGATTTCCGTATAGCGGAGATCTGGTTAACGAAACCTGATGAACTCCACCCACGCCACCGTTTCCGTTGTGCGCTTCGGAACTGTTGTTGTTGTTGTTGCTACTCGTGGTATTGTTGTTATTACTGCTGGCATTATTATTGTTATTATTATTATTGAATTGGGTTACACTGTTGAGCTGGGTGTCGGCACGTGTCTCAGGAAGTTGTTGCTGCTGCTGCTGCTGCTGCTGCTGCTGCTGTTGCTGTTGTTGTTGTTGTTGTTGTTGTTGTTGTTGTTGTTGCAGCTGCAGCTGCTGCTGTTGTTGTTGATGATGCTGTTGTTGTATAGATGCAAAGACCTCAGTGAGAGGAGTACGCTTCTCTTCTTGAAGTAATGGTATTGTATGGCCAGCGCTTTGACCATTTTGCTTCATTCGACATCTCTGCGATATGACTTCGCCTAGCAGCGCTCGAATCACTTGACCATTGGATAGCGAAGCCGGAACGGTGGCGCAGCTGTCGGCGCTTTTGACAAACGATTTCTGTATAAGTATCTGCGTCTGGCCACTTCCTGAATTCGCCGTCGCAGTTGGTGTTCCTAATGTGTTGGTCGACCCCATCGGAGTGTCATCACCCTTCTTGACGTACCCTCCGTGCAATCGCATGTGACCATTGAGCGCTGCTACGTTTTTGAACGAGCGCTCGCAAAGTGCACATTCCACTCGTTCATCCCGATCGCTGGGGTAAGTAAAAGAGAAAAAAACAGCGGCTTTCATTGTCTTAATATTTATAGGTCAATGACAATATTTCTCTAGTGCTTTATTGCATAACCGTTCGTTTTATCAACCATCTTATGTCTTGCAAATAAAATTCAAACGTAATTTTTTGCATGGTATGACTAGAAAAATTTCGATATCATCAGAACACGCTGCACACACACCTTTTGTTTTCTCTGCGATCTCCTGCGTCACCTCCTTGAAGGAGATCTAAAAGTACGCTACCACCGCCACCTGCTCCCGTACCGTTTCCACATACGCCCCCTACAGTGGTTACTGAACTGAGTCCTGATGAGCTGTCGTCTCGCGAGTCCTATACGAACAGGGTTAACAGTAAGTCAGAAAGGATTTAACAATATAGGTTATGTCGCTCATACGCTATAACTCAAGAGGCTCGAGGTTTCGTTAATGGATCTAAAAACTTCATCAATGTAAATTGTCGGACTCGGAAGAGCGTTCGCTCATCCATTAAAAAATTACCTTCGATAACTTCTGAACGTTCGATGAACATACCTTATCATCCCGCAGCGTGGAGTGCCCTAAGGACGTACTGGGAAAGGTCCCTGGTGCACCGGAAACTGCAGCTTGTTGTAGCTGGTGATGATGATGATCCTTGTGACGTCGTAGTGAACGTGCATCACAATACGACTTATCGCACCCGTCTGTATCACAGGCAAACGGCTTTTTGTCTCGATGAGTCAACATGTGGCCATTTCTGCAAGAAGACCGTAATAGTTATAATCGTGATGCTGTTACAACGAATTCTCAAGCTACTCCATGTTTATCACATGATTTAGATTTATTAGAGAATAGGTATAGAAAAGTGCGTTTCCAAGAGACTACGCCAGATCAATATCAATCATTTATGTAAATTGTGGCTGTATTGAGGAACACAATTGATACCAGCATTCAAATCTGGCCCAGTATCTGTCATAAAAAGGCCTAGGTGAATTAGGCACTTACAAAGCCGTAAATAACGACCTAAGTAAGAAAAAAGGGGACTCGAAGATAGTCTAAATGGTCGAAACCGGGCGTAGACACCTATCGTTTCGTCTTTGAAGCTGCATTGTTTAAGTAACACAACAAAAAGCATGAAACTTGGAAGTGTTCCCGTATCGAGCTACTTACAAGTGATCTTGTCGCTTAAACGCCTTTGAGCAGAGTTGGCAGACGAACTTTCGTTCGTTCGAATGTGTGAGTTTGTGTTTAGTGAGCGCCGATGTTGTGGAAAACTGTTTGCTGCAAACGGCGCAGCGAAGAGCGTCTGCTGGCCGCGACTTTGTCTCGGTTGTTACAACGGACGTGGCCGCGGCCGATAGCGTTGAAACGGTCGACATCCCCCCACCAGCCTGAATCACTAATTGATTCGTCTTGATCAGACTCGCGACGGTTGACTCCGGAGGGCCGGTCTTTACTTCGCGTCGGACGGTGGCCGCCGTTAGATCTGGTTTAAAGTGTACGAGATTGGTGCCAGGAGCAAGCAGGCATCCGATCGTGGTCCCCTTGACCACAATAGGTGCACCTGCAGCTGTGGCAGCCTCCTTCACGCCAGCGTCTTGCCGGATCTGCAGATTCACCGTCTTAAGACCACTATCTGATATCATTGCTGACGCAGCTGTCGCCGACTGCGTTTTCTGTTGTAATTGCACCTGTTGTTGTTGTTGTGACACCTGCTGCTGCTGCTGCTGCTGTTGTTGCTGCTGCTGCTGCTGCTGCTGAATCTGTTGCAGTTGGCCTGTTTCGCCGATGCACAGTCGCTCTTTGCCGGTTGTCTGCAGCTTGACGTGTCGAATCCCTCCGATCGTTGTTGTGGTCGTCTTATCGTCGTTAACGCCCACCGTTAATGTCGTTGCAGTTGTTGTTACGGCTGCTGCTGGTGCTGCCGATGTTGTTGTTGCTGTTATTGTCGGTGTTGTTGTTGTCGCCACATTTTGCTGTTGACTAACTACGCCGGTTTTGAGCACCACTGCATTTGGCAGGCGACCTTGAAAGCCCTTGTTGTGTGTTGTAGGAGCTGTAGCTGTTGACGCTGCTGCTGCCGCCACTGTTACCGAAGCCGTCGACACTGCACCACTCTGGAGCAGATCAGACGCCGAGGTAACGGTCGTTAATGTTTGACTCTGCTCAGATTGAACCAACCGATCATCGCTGGGGGTCAGATCCTCTAGTTGTAGGTAGCCTTCGAGCACGAACACCTGCTCACGTTCTGTACTTCCGTCAGCTCCGTTACCGCCATTTCCGAGGTGCTCCAATTGTGCTCCGACATCGCTCGTACCACTTCTACACAGGGCGGTGGCTGCGATCGAACTAGCAGTAGTGACCGCGGCAATATTATTATTGTTATTATTATTATTATTGGTGTTGCTCTTGTTGTTAATATTGTTATTCGTATTATTGTTATTATTGCTAACGTTGATCGTGCTGCTACTACTGCCGCTGCTGCTGATCGCGTTCACGTTGATTAGAACGTTTTCAGTAACGTTAGTTGATGCGACACTACTTGCAATGCTGCCGGTGAGCGATGTTGCTTGAACAACCTGTTGCCCTTGCTGGGTCTGTTGTAGCCGAATCCGGTGGCACTCAATATATTGTTGCTCCTGCTGTTGTTTTTGGTGCTGTCGGGGCGACGTCTGTAGCTGCTGCGATGTGCCAGGCGGCTGCTGCTGAGATTGTTGACCTGACTGTTGAGCACCGAGGCCTGAAAGGCTGGTGGCTGTATACCCGTGCTCAAGCTGGACGCGCAGCTCTTCGGCCCGTCCTGGCCGCTCCTGGGGCTCTCCTGCGCCAGGCTCCATCGCCTCCGGGCCCAGTGTCAATGGAGGGCCCTCTTCCAGTTTGCGGCTTTACGGTCGTGAGGCCCAAATTGACTTCGCCACTCGTGTACTGCAACCTGCCGCTAATCAGAAGCCGAAAGAGATAAAAAAAAAAGAAGGGATGCACACAGAAGAGAATACAGCTCATTAATTCAAGTACTTGTGTAAACTCTAAGCAAACAGGCGGGGTGGAGTTCATGCTATTTCATATAGTCATGGCTTAATGGATGAGTCGATATAGAGGCGCTCGACTTGACATGTAAAAAAAATTAATTAGAGTAAGCAACAGCAACTACCACGTTTTTTAATTATAACCTATGTTTATCGGTCAAAGCTAAATAAAGTAATATTGTGATGGCGTATATTTCGAAACATTAACAGCTAATCTTATATTATTATATTAATTATTATTACGTACAAAGCCGTTCTGTGCCAATCGAGAGCCAAACATTTAGATACTGGGAAGAATCTTTCGAAGACGCCCGGAAACGGTGTCTACCGGAAGCTCAGTTACGGCTGCTCTACAAGCCTTTGCAACTGACGTTCTCCATCGAAGTATCGTAAACGATATTGAGGATGTCACCTCGAGAACCCCGGTCGTTGCTCCTACCAGCGCAAAGTACAATTGAAAACCGACGTCATTTTTTTCTGTAGTTTTTTGTGACGTTATTATTGCGATCACGTTCTCAATCTCTCATCTGTGGACTGCCTCATCTAACGCCTCTCGAAAAATTACTTCCCTTGTGAAAAAAAGTCGCTGTAAACTTTCATGTTGCTCTAAGTATTAACTGAATTCAAGTTCAGGAGTCGCTACAAGTTGTCACTCGTATACAGTACCCAGCAGTCCTATCCGACACGTAATGAAGAAGACTAAAACACATAATCTATGGCAACATATTAATTCTGAAATCTTTATTACAAAACTGCATCTTTCGATTCATTATCGAATGGTGTTTTATTTGTATCATATATTCAAAGTGTAACTCCATAGACACAGCAAGTGACAACCACCCGTGATCCAGATAATGTACTATAGACACAAAACATCATCAGCTAGTGAAGCATATCTACTGATTACCTGATCTCCGAGCAAACCTGATCCTGTGTCAGGGCATTAGCCTACGTTGGATGTGGCATCGGTGCTGGATTCGACATAACATATAAATTATCCTTTCTTCATGCATCTGTGCAATAAAAAAATTGCTTTGATTTCGTATCTGAGCAAACATCACAAATTAAATGCTTTAATAATGCACTTGCTTTAATGAAAGCCACGAAGTGACAAGCACGACGGTGACGTCCCAAAAGACAATATACTGTCATAGATATCAACGAAAGTTAACTTGTTAGATAAAGTGTTTTTGCTGAGGCGAACAGGACGGTGGCTTCATTCTCCTTTGTCCTCTTTTTCTATGCCGCCTTAACAAGGCCAAGGACGTTGGAGATCAATTTGACATTCTGATTCAAGCAAAGCATATGTCAACCCAAGGAAGCAAAGATACGGGTCGAAATGTGTACCGGTGGTGAAATTAGCAGTAGAAGATAAATTCAACCAGATTTGGTGACGTATCGACCTGTTATCCAGTTCATTGTTTGCCACAACATATCCGTAAGCTCTAGTTAAAAGACTGCCTTATCAAGGACATGGTTAACGTAATTCGAGGTATTTCAACGTCTACTTACAATACTTGTTGCATGCAGCCGTTTCTCAAAGTGTCAGTCGTCCAAAACAGGTTAAACGAAATCGAACAGTCGCGCAGACCCCACATATTCACTGTGTTTCTATGCCTTGTTCTTTTTTAAACAAGCGCAATTTTAGTAGAAACAATGTTGATACTTTTGCGTCTTTAATTTCAGTAACAACTGCAGTCTGCCATCAGTCGTCATCTATACAATGAGATTCGTTATTAGTGTAAATAGTCGATTTTCGCCGGCCATATGGACCCCACAGCCTAGCATCTACTCGGATACGTTACCTCCATTAGAGTTAAGTTTTCGATATCTACAGTGATTCTCTATTATGAGGAGAACTGTTTCATTGCTCCTCGAATAACGCATAATCGACTTCTTTTTGCTAATCCCCCTAACACCGTCATACTCGAACGTGGCCTAGTGTAGGCAAAGAGCGCCAAAACGATCTTAACAGCTAAGCAACCACCGGTCTGTAAAGCCCAAGCATCATTATCATGGCAAGACTGCGTTACTCTGTGGTCGTTGCGCATGACAAATCTAAACAAGCATCACCGAGGAACGCGATATTTGCCTATCAACATCGGCGGTACTAGTCGGTCGATCGAGTTCTAGCTCAACTCAACAGTGTTTTGGGCCCTTTACTTAGCGCCACCATCTTCGGGTGCAATACCCTTGTGTATACGATTCGTGCATAGTGGCCTGTAGTTTTGGCCGCATCTCAGCTGGCGCTGAGAGGGGCCCCCGCCATTTTGAGAGTGCGAGGGTGGCCCTCCTCGTACACTGCTCTATAGCATAACGATTATAGCAAGGCGATTGCAGGTTGACAACGATAGCTATAGTTGAGCCCTTCGGAATCTGACGTACCTTCGCGCGGGACACTGCAACGGATCCTGGCCTCCGTTGACGCTCGGGTTCGACTATGCAACATGCCGATGACTGGAGATCCGGTGCACCACTTCAATGTTTGCTTAACGTTCACTTGGTGTTCATTAGCAGCATTCGCAGTTGGCCACCGGGTCAAACGACGGAGAGACGAGGCCCTGGACACAGCAGCCAGCAGCATTGCATCGCAACCATCAACAGCCACCGCTAGCCAAGAGCCGCTGATCGACGGATAGGCGGACACACAGACACACGGACGAACCAAAATGCACACGACACAGACACTAACGCTACCAATACCATCGCTACAGCAACAGCAGCCGCTGCCGTCACTCAGGATGGTTTAGCTGACTACTTGCTGCTGGGGGTCGCGCAGAGCCTCTACGCGCCCCAACGAACGGACCCGAACATACAGCCACACTCAGACGACATAGCACGATTGTGCTCCTAACCTAACTCATAGAGAACTCACTCACTCACTCAGGCAGGCCAATGGCAGCGCGCGCACAACAGAGAAGGGCTCTCGAACGCGGCTGACTCCACTCTCCTTCAGTAGCGGCCAGAGTAGCCGACTGCTGAGCGCCAAAAGAGGTTGAGGGAACAACGAACCAATGGAAGCGCACCAGCACCTCACTGAAAGCACCACCACCAGCGTCACCGGATGATCTCGGAGCTCAACGCTCGTAGTCCGTCCACATCGTCAAGGCGCGACCAATTCACAGAATTACTCATACCCAAGGGGGTTTAATAGATAGAATAGTGGCAGGCCACTGGTTAGGTGGCGATGGGCACTCGGCACTCACTCCGCTCTTTCGCTTTCACAGTACAGAAGGAAAGGGGAATAAAGAAAGAAATGGAAATAGAAAGGCTATCGCATAGTACTTTCGCGCTGAAGACGCTTATAACAACGAGCCGGTTATGTACTAGGCCATGTACTATGTAGGCCATTCTCATAGAGAGAACCAATGGTCAGAGCGTATGCACACACACATAAAGCGATGGGCATTTACACATGGTAAAGGGATACACACAACATGGACATGGTGCCACACATTTGTATGGTCGTAAAGAAAGACAGGGAAAAACGAATTTCTTTTTATATGCTATACGAGATCCGCGAATTGCGCGAACAAGGATGTACACACACGTGTACACAAATGAGAGAGGCAAACGAAGACAGTTACTGAAGAATGGATAGATTTAGATAAGACGAACGCGCTGGTCGAACTGGTTTTGTACCGCGGAAGGTTCGTTTCGACTAGCCAGACAGCTAGAGTGATAACGGCATAAATAAATTGGAGAACGGACGACTCAAGGACGCATAAAACGGAAAACTTCATGCTTAAGCGGCACCTCATATTTTGGTACTTGAAGCTGTGGACATGCGCGAAGATACAAGAAAAAATAAAGCATAGGGCAAACATAAATAGACTCAGGCAAGAATGGATTGACGGGAAAATCCTCCGATTCATCTGTGATTCAATGGATAGCAACGTCAGCACACGGGAAGAGGAAGCTGTTTGGAGAGTTGTCGATTGAAATTATTGGTTTTAAGAAATACTCGTACATTTGTTTAGAATGTTGAAGCCTCTCAACGCCAGTACACATATAATGGACTGACGTAATTGGAACTAACCAGGGTGCGTTAAGGGCGGGATTGTGTTGAATAATATTCGACTTCAGTTTTAGCAGTGCCTCATTTGATTGCTTAGAAGATTAAACGTCCACCATATAATAGCTCGCAGTGATAACTAACAGTACGGCACGACTTCATTTCGTCAACGAAAACGCTCGGTGTTTATGCTGAACGCTTACAGGAGGCTATTGTTTAAAGTTTTTAATCGTTGTTGGAATTTTAAATACTGTTTTACAGATCTTTTTTCTTGTTGGGCACGGCAAGGGATCATGCGTAACACACCCTTTGTTGAAGCAGTATGTCAACATGTGAAAACTCTTTGCCCATCAAAAACTACTTAAGAAATAAGTATTGGTTCCCTGTCATTAAAATATGGAAAAAAAAAACACAACGTTAAATGGAGCGACGACCGTTCGGCGCTGTGTCATCTTGGTCCATTCGGATGATTCGGTAGCGGTATTTTTTTCGACGTTTCGTTGAATCCTTGTCTGACGTAACGAAATTTAAAACAGCAGCTTTTTCAGTCAGTCGTTTCGAGTTCTCAGTTTGCAATGATTATGTGCACTTCGGCGATCGCGAAGATTCAAATTCTGCTTTATTTTCGTCGCCTTTAACAAGCTCTAGGTTCCATGATGTTTGACCTGTTTTGTTGCCCTATTATTTTTGTTTTGACATTTGGTTCATTTAATTTATTAAGGAACGATGAAGTAAATAGGTATTTTTCGTAAGTATAAAAAGTTACGATTTCAAGGGCACTGCGATTTTCGAGCGGCGCTAAGGATATGGGCAGCAGTGTTTTTTTTTTCCATTTTGGCATTTTTGCTCAAAAAGAACAGGTACTGTCTATTTTAAAATGTTTAGAAACATTTCTGGATAATTGGGGCACGTCCACGATCTGGTCACGATTTGGAGAAAAAGTCAAATACTCTGTTTCTTTATAGGTATTTATAAACGGCAGAAATCCAAAGCCGGGATTACTTGAGTTTGGGTAGTGTTAGAAGAGACCAAGCTACATAGGTGAGGTATTTAGAGAAATTACAGAGTAGCCATTCTTTGAACGCCATATTTTCAACTATACGGAATAGCGTGATCGTTTATATCCGCAGTTAAAAAAGCACGATCGAAAGAGAGTAGCGATAATGTAACATAGATTTGTTTCAAGAAGAAACGTGGAAAATATAGCGCTATGTTTTTTTCAAAGGTTTGTAGTAAAATATTTGATTTAACGGAATACACACAGGCAATAATTGAACACTTACTTTTATCTATTTTAGCACGTGTGACCTACCTATATACTTTTTTTTTTATCAACAAGGAATCGTTCGTGACAACCCCATTCATGTGTAAACACTTTATCCTGATGTTGTAATATCAACGACGAAGAAACGTTTTCTAATTCATCAAAGCTTACCAAGTTACTGTATAAAAACACTAATAACATATTTTGACACAAACTTAGATTTTTCAAGGCGAAAGGGATCTAGGACCTGTCGCATTTGATAGGTTTTCTGAAGTAAAAACTAAGGACAATTTTATTAGCATTAGTTTTTTCAACTAGTACGTTTGTGTTCATCGTGAAACGTTCCGCAATGCTGACGAAGATTAGGCCAAGCAAAAGGCACTGGAATAACTAACTAAATGTGATCTTTGGCCGTTATATGTGATTTTCAGTGATATAGAAAAAGGGAATCCTTGTAACATCAACTTTAAGTATTTGAATAATAGCCAATAAATGTGTTAAAAAATATTTTACTATGAAACTATCTCCATCAGTTGGTAAAGTCTCTCGATTAGAAGATACGGAAACAGCCGTCGAATGTGGCCATAATGATACAAAAAAGACGATGTATTTAAAAATTTTAAACAATTCCAATGAAACATCTTGAATCTTAAACGTCAGACAATAACAAATATCAACGTCGGAAAAAAAAACACGAAAAAAAGCTATGTCTGTCTAAAATTGAACGAGAAAGATTTTAGTTTAGAAGAAATATCTCAAGTTAACCTAATACCGCACAGGCGTGCCTCAAGTTAGTACTTTAATATTTTGCTGGCCGTTTTTGAGGTAGATGGAGGAATCTATTTCGATGAAATATACAAATAAACAAAAAGTCAGAAGTATGAATAGTTGAAACTGTGTCGAAAAGAACGCTTCGACATATTGATAAAGCTTCATTTCCTGTACGATAATTTGCCAAATCTGAAAGTCCTTAATGTTTCGGGTTCTACCTTCGAGCGGTGGAATCGCCGTTAAGAATTCTACCCACCAAGTCTGTCTATGGGTCCAAACCTAGATCACAACTTGTCCCTAAAATTAGCGGGCTCTTAGTTCGGCTTGTGTAACATAATGCAGTAGCGATTGAACCGCTCGTAGCGACGTTGAATCCGTGACGTCGGGGGCAGAAGATATACGGATATGTGTTCATGGATCAGGACCACGAAGAAGTAGAACACCTATCCTTTCACCGTAAGGCGCGCTCAGTATGTATATATATATATATAAGGGCGCATAGGCAATCACGAATACGAAAAACGATTATCGGCACGAACGCAAATTATCACGTAAAACATCGAAAAATATATGCCCAGAAAACGCATCAAGTAGAGTTAGACAGCGGCCTGAAATGCAAAATAATTATCAAAAACTTAGTCCTTACCTGTAACTATTTTCCTGTGTAATTATGTTTTCAAGGTAACATTACATGAAATAGAGTTGGAATGAAGTACCGGATATTTGCCGAGGCAGATGTTTCCAAGTTTCCATTAGGTACTACACTAGAAAATCACCACTTGAAATCACCTGAACTGAATTATGTAGGACGTTCCTGATACACGATATACCTTCTACGACTTCCGATATATAGAACGTTTAAAGAATTACCATAAGTATGTACACTCTATTGCGGATGCTGCCTATATGGGCCTTCTTTTTCATTACTACTACTACCACCACCATTATTATTAGTATTATTTTTGATTAAACATATCGAAGTCTACGCTGTCACCAGAAAGCAGTCAGACTGAGTCTCTAAACAACGTCCAGTGTACGTAAATAAAACATCTGACGTAGGCCTTCAACAAGGCAAGGGTTCCATGATCGCGAAAAATAATGAAAGTAATATTGGTGACGTATCCGTACCTGGAAATGAG